TAATCAAAAAAAGGAGTGAAAACCAAGAACTGGCATTTTCCAAAAGGTGCCTTGAACCTAAAGAGGTTGAGAACCACTGGTATAGATGCTTTTGCCACTCAAGTCCATGCACTGTTTAAACAGAGGCTTCAGGGTACAGCTGGAAGTTAGGCTACTGCTACAGCCAGCATGGATTTATGTAAGATCTTCCTCCTCAAAAGCACTTCCTCCCCTCCTAGCACTCTAACCCAAAACAGGTAGCTCCTATTTGTTTGCACAAATGACAACTTTCCTGCAAGTTTAACTGAAGAGAGCAAGGGCTTGCTTTCTGAACAACTTCTGAATCTATTTCTTTACGTATATCCCCCCCACCAAACTGTGTCCACATCAGAAAGCTTTGCAAAGAGCAAGCAATCAGGACTCGTAGTAGAGATATCTTTTATTAGACCAACAAGATAAAAGATATCATCTCTACTACGAGTCTTCATTGCCTTTTTCTCTAGACCAAGACAGCTACAACCTGGATAAAGAACCAGGAGGACTTTACTGAGGGGCCATCGGCCTCCCAAGGCTGCAGCCAGAAGCCCTTTCTGGTGTCATGTTGGATGACACTGTACACTTCCCTGGCTCCATCAAAGCATAGGAAAGGAAGGAAAATCTTCACGATTCATCTGCTCCAACTTCAGAGGCAACCAAAGTGTAGAATCTACTTTAACAGTGAGCAGGACAGTGCCCATATTTCTTCTCTTCCCCCAACTTTTCTTTGATTCACTGCTTGGAAAGGCCTGGTGATGCTTTAACAAACCGGGCTGGGAAAGACTTTTGAATCTGGGAAAATTGACACCGCAAAAAAATAAATAAGTCAGTATTCCCTGCATGCTCCTCCCTCTCACTTTCCCCTCTAATTCCAAAATGATTTCAGCTTTTACTATATATCCTGAACTGAGAGTTAGATTACTGCCTTATACCATCTGAAAGCTTTCAGGAGATATAAAGCACCAGTTTCTCCCTCCATCAATTCTCAATACAGTAGCTGCTAAAAATCAAGTCAGGATTCAAATGGAAATAAAGCCAGCATTTAAGAATAGGGAAATAAGTTATCTGAAGAATTCAGCATTCTCCATGGTATACCCTCCCCTCATCCCAGGTGTTTATGTTCTGGTTGCTCTTTTCTTTCCAGTGGGTTTAAGACAGCAAGGGGAAAAAAGCCTTTTTTTCTTTTTTTTGGAAAAGGTGCCTTTTATTATATTTTGTTCTATACAAAAAACCCTACTGCATTTTTAACAGAGAGAGAGCATTGCCCTGTCTATGTTTGTACAACTGAGGTATTCACTATGCAGTAGCAGGCAAGCAAAAATCAAACAGCCAATGCAACCAAGAGCAAGTGTAAAGCTGATCTGGGAATGGGAAAATATGGCCTTCCATCTTCATTTTTATGCTGCTTTATAATGCACAGATAAACCAAAGTTCTTATCTTCCCACTCTTCCAGGGAAGTTAGTTTCTAATGTGAATGGCAAGTAGATAATAAAGGCTGACAGAAAAAAGAAAAAAAGGGTGATATCACCAGTCAGGAAACTTGAGCAACTAAGAAAGGAACAGATTTTACTTGGAATGTAAAGTCCTCCTTTTATTTAAAGCGCATCCTAACAGCCAGAGTTACAAACTATTTTGTTATCAGTCCCAACTCTCTAATGCCCAGGTGTCTAATTGTGACCCTTGGACCACCAAACCATCGCCAGCTTCTAGAGCACTGCCCGGTCCGTGTGGTCCTGCTCCTACTTCTTCCCCATCTGCTGAACAGACTAAGGAGGTGCTAGAAATACATGGGATAATCTTGCCAACTATTTTCAACCCCCCCCCCCCACACACACACACACACTTCAAGGAAGCCATTGATGTAGTTACCAGACCTGTGCTGCAAAAATGGAGCTCTCCCACCCGCTGGGCGCACAGCACTTTGAAGGCACCCTGCTCCCTCTGAAAAGGCTGGGGAAACACTGCCCTCCTATGGCGAGAACATGCCATCTGCTTCAACAACTGGAATTTGACCCCCCTCTAGAGGGTAGCCCACAGCAAGGCACCACGCCTCGCCACCCATGAACAGTCAGTGAGGATGCTCTGGGAAGATGATGCCCTAGCATCAGAGCACCTTATGCGTGCAATCAGGACCGCTGAAGGGAAAGCCTCCAAATAAGTCTTAACTCCACTTACAAAACAGCATTATCTTGCTTAAGAAAGTCTGAAGCCAAGCTCCTTTGCTGTGTCAAGTGATTGGAAAGGGAAGCGACACTCAACGTTTGGTTTTATTTGGGCTCCATGCTTGTCACAATATTGTTGGTTACCTCTGCGCCGCTTCCTTCTGCCAGCTTTTCAGAGCCTGACACGCCACCGTACTATAGGCACAAGCTGTTAAAACTTGGCTAAAGAGGAAGAACTTAGGTGCCAGATGAACTAACCAGAAAAAAAGTTGCAAAACATTAAAAACACTGCCAGGAGAGATGACAAGAGTGGAGAAATTGTCTAGAAATGCGAGGCATGAAAACAGGAATCTGGCAAGGTTAGTGGATGGGTACTTCAACAGGCAGATGTCTTCCACTGTACAATGCTTGTACTTCTCCGGTTATGTTCAGGTCATTTAGACATACCCTGGTGACGTTCTCTTTTGGGATCATTTAGTAACATGTGTGTAACTCAGCCCTATTCAAGTCCAGGGTAAAATGCTCTAGTAGAACTAAAAACCCTGCATCGTGCAGACGTTACCACCACTTAGTCCACTGGAACGCAACGTTGAAAGTAAAAGGTTAGCTCAAATTAGTTTGAAGATTCACACACACAACGAATATGATCCACAATTAGTGGATCAATGATCACGTCTGTCTTCGTTGCGGGGAATCACAAAATACATGTACAATATAAATGTTTAAAGTCAAGAGAAAGAGGACTACAGTGTTTTCTTACAGCCTAGCTTACTTCATAACTTAACATGTACTCAAATCAGTTGTACAAATTTAAAAAAAAACAAAAAAAACAAAAACACAAAAAAAACACAAGGCATTGCATTTAAAATCCAGTACAGTAGCTTTCCTTAGCATGTAAGCGATAAGAGATTTTTACCTGAGCAGCTTTCCATTTAGCCCTGTAGGACTCTATTTACTGTTAATCCAACAAATCGTCCATGGTATATTCCTAGATCTCATCTGGTATGGTGCTACACGAGGTATCAGTGTAGAGTATAAACCTTGTATATTTTCGGGACAGCTATCATGACCCACTAACCTACTTGCAACAGTGGTTAAAAAAGGTAACATCAGATACTGAAGTGCTACTGTTAATCATTGTAAACACAGCAAGTCTAACTCTTTGAGATGCTACGATTTCCCAGTCACAAAACTTCTTTTCCTGGATTTACACAGATGAATGGACGTTGGGGGAAGCAACAACCCCGGCGGGTTTAGAAGACAAACCTGCCTCCAGTCTAGTTCAAGCCAAACCACAGCACTGCCACGCTTGTCCTCAATGAGCAGCCCCCTCCGCAGTCGTGCAGTGATGGGGCACACCCGAAAATATAACATGCCCACCTGGCAGCCTTTACTTGGACAGTCCTGCTTAAATTGTTCTAGTTTTCAAGATCACCTACAAAATTAAGATGAGAGGTAAAATTTGTATGCTGGTAAAATGAGGTGCATTTTTAGTGCTCACATGTCTCAAACAACAACCAGGATAATTAAAATCTTCTTCAGCAACAACTTTCTGTACATTGATTTGCATAGCCCCAACTTGGACACAGGAAAAAAAACAACTTTATCTCCCACCGATACCATCATTAACCCTTCACCACTCTTGCCCAGACACACAAACTTTATCTTTGCCGGAGACGAGACGCACAACAGAGGACAGAAAGCTCATACTTATTTGCACTGACAAACTCTGAAATGCTATGTAATTCTGAGAAAGATATTAATGCTAAAAAAAAAAAAAAAAAAAAAAAAAAAAAAAAAGTCTCAATATATTAATCCTTGCATCTCTCCTGTAGGAAGTTTAACTACCATTTTTTGTTTCAACTACCAAGTCTCTCCAGTGTTTAGGGAAGGAAGCCCCCACAGGACAACAAGCCATTTACCCCCTAAAATTGTTTCAGATTCACCAAGAAAAAAAATAAAAGCCCTGAGCATTTCCAAAATAGGGTTTCTATGTAATTCAGTCCTTTCACCTACCGCTAATTCTCTAGGACTTCAGGTCTAGCTGCTCAGCAACAGATACAGCAGTCTCTGCACAACATGCGATACGGATTTTACTACGTCGTCGCACCGTTTATAGCCATTAACGTGCAGGAAAGCAAAACCCAATGCATCATACACTGATCATACGTTCTTGCAAGTCTTTCCCCATCATTCCCCCATCTAAACTTCTTACCAGGAAGAAACGATTTAGCTGCAGGCAAATACTGCTAAAACAGTGTTTTCCAGTACTAGACCCATCGCTGCATTCAAGATTAATTTCAATGACAGTCACAATAGCCGTAGTGGGAATGTAAAAAGACAACCTCAAAAGATTCACAATGGTTAGCCCACAGTTTCCTCCCATCAGAGGTATTCCTGCTTTCTTGTGTCAGAGACTGAGAACCAGGCTCACTCCAAGTATGCCATTTAACATGCTTAAAAAAAAAATTATTTTTTTTTTTTGGAATGAAATACAATAAAAGGATCGCGACATGATTCAGACACACAGCCAAGTTAACAGGATCGCCTCCTGTTTCAGCACGATTTGGTCTGGACAGCCGTGTCTCAGCCCCTCTGTAAGCAGCCTCAGATCTGCACAATCCCAGCAGCAAAACCCTCCTCTGCATTATGAAGAGCCAGGACAAAATCTAGACAACTTGAGCCTCTTCTCTCTCCATACACTGATCCACGCACAACATCCTCTCCCCCATATTCACAACCCCCTGGTATTGCTTTGTTTCTCCCCCCCCCAGCCCCAACCCCCTGCACTGTAGTTTGTCAGGGGTTTATTTGGGCCAATACGGATTAGCACCGAGCATCAGTCTTCTCCCTGGCCTCAGGATAAGACACCAAGTTGCTAAAGGGGCATCTGCATCCAGAGCTACTTTTGCTGATGTGCTCAGTACTTGGGGACACAAGGGGGAAGACAAGGTTTGTGAACCAATTCATCTTCCTTGCATACAGCTCACATGCACCTCTACACGCAACCTCACCTGGCTGCAGAAATTCCCGCAAGCAGGAGTTGAAAGGGAATTTACTTTTAAAGAGAGTACAAATGACATTGAAAAGACAGAACAAATATGTTTTCTGTTGCACTGCATGATTCTGCCAGCTTGTTTCCTAGGTAGAGATTTCATACAACCTTCCCACACACATTTCCTCCCTACCCCCACCTTCTCAAGAGGAGGGGAAAAAAAAAAAAATATCTTTGCTGTGCTGTCTCCATTTTACCTCCAGATCCTTGTCCTAGGAAGAGGTGTCAAGGCCCTCCCTTGTGCCCATCTCCAGGCTCAAATGTGCTGTCACCATCTTAACTCCGTACACTCCTTCAGAGACTTCCTTTGCAGCAAAGTTAACCCTTTCAATTATCCATACAAATCTTCTCCCCCCTACTCCCAAACTAATCTTTTTCTTCTATTTGCTTCCCCCCCAGCACCTTTCGCCAACAGAAAATGATCCTCTATAATCCATTAATTTCTGTCCTTTACCCTCTAGGATTCCTCCTGGAAATCTTAATGCAGAGTCAAAATTAACCCCTTCATCTGCCTCCGGGCTTCCCTGGGCTCCTACCATATCAGAAGCCTCAGGGCTGGTTTCTCCTACATACCCAATCTCTTCCTCAGAAGATCACTTTGAAGAGGGGAAAGGAAGTGGGGGATACAAACGACCCACTTCTCCCCACCGGGCTCCCTCCTGCGCCGTTACCCCGGGATCGGAGATGGCACCCCCTCCCCGGCACCAAGCCTCGCTCCTATGCTCTCCTCTTACACGGAGGCCCTGCCAGGAACAGGCGGGGGCAAATCAGCTCCTTGCAACTGTCCTTAAAACACCCCTGTCCCCGAAAGCCCAGCTTCCTGGGAGTGTTCGTGCCTCTGGGCTCATGGTAGGGAACTCCCTCCTCCAAGATGGCTTTGTGCAGGGTTCACAGGTCTAAAAGCATCCTCTACATCTGACCCCCGGAGCGCCTTGCCTGCAAATTAATCCCTCACCTTCCCCCTACTCGTCTTTCCCATCTTCCCCTGGAAGTCTCCCCACCGCTGGCTATGGACACAAGCCTCTGACCTTCAGTCCCCCGCAGGGGAGATCTAAAAAACCCCTTCCCTGCTCCCCTCCGCCTCTTCCGAAAGGGATTCGCTCCTATTGCCAAAGGTCTGCCCAGGACATCTCTTTGCATTCCTCCTTCCCCCAGAACTGCTCCTGGCTTTCCGCTCTTTGGAGAGGGTGACTTATCCTGGAGCTCCCCCTCTGCCTGGTGGGGAGAAAATACCTTCCCGGTCTTAGCTGCAAACCAAGAGCCTGGATCTTGCCCTGGGCATCGGCAAGGAGGTGCCCCCTGCCCTGCTCAGCCAGGCCCCACACTGCAGAGCTCTGCCAGTGTTTAGGGGGAGCCAATCCTCATTTCCCCCATGCTGCTGCCCTCAAGCTCCCAGGGCTGCTCAATGTGGGGAGAACCTGGACCACAGGCCCCTCCTGGCTGCAAACCCATGCCCCTTCTCCCCCCACCTGAGCTCTAGAGATCTCCTTCCGTGGGGCTCAGCCCCAACCCCAGCCTCTCCCCACTGCTGTGCCCATGTTGGGTTCAGCCTTTCCCCCATGGACCCCCCACTTCAGCCTCAGCCTCTTACCCAAGGGGAAGGGGAGGGAAATCATCCCCACCACCAAAAAAAAGAACTCGGCTCACCCCCATACCCCAAACCTGGCTCCTGACTGCCTGCAGGCATGGATGACCCTCTGTGGCCTCCCAACCCCAGGCCTATGCTCTGTCTGCACCCTCAAATCACTACCTGCATGACAGCAGTGACTCCATCCTTCCTCATCTGTGTGCACGTGTGTGTGGGGGGGTTAATATCTCCCCCTACCCCCCCAACTCCAAGCCCATCCACCCTGCAAGCATGAGGGAGGCCCACAACCCACGCTTCCCTCCTACCCCAGGCCCACGGCCCTGCCTGGAAGTGGGGGGGGCACCTACCACCTCCCGCAATCCTGTATCCAGCCCCCACCCCCCAAGTAACCTCTTTCGAGCCCCATAACTGTGCAGAGGCAGCCAACTTATTTTCCTACCCCAACCCCTCAAGTGAAATGTATATGGGGTTTGGGGGGGGGGGGTGCAATAACCCTTTCTGCCTACCTCAGGCCCCATCCCCCTATGTCCCTCCATTTAAGGGGGCAGTGCCTCCCTCCCCCTAACCCCAGGCCACACCTAGAGGGGCAGCAATCTCTTCACCCCCCATGCCCATGCAGTGGGGGGGGGGGGGGGGGGGCCCCCGCCGCCAGGGGGGGGGGGGGGGGGGGGCGGAGGGGGGAAGTGACCTTCTCTCTACCCAGGCTCCACCAACCTCATGTCCATGCATGTGGGGGGCAAGCAGTGACCTCCCCCCCTCCTTCCTTCCTACCCCAGCTCCCAGCCCTATTCAATGCAGGGGGGTAACAGCCTTCTTTTCCACCCACATGACTCACATTTCCCCCCCGCCCAGGCCCATGATCCCTGCCTACATGCCAGAGAGCTGGCAGGGGGCAACTACCAACTGCTCTCCCTTACCTCCCCCAAATCACAACCTCATCCAATGCAAGGGGGGGTTTCACTTCTCTTCCTCCCCCAGCCCACCCAATAGAGGGAAGGGGGACATAGGGACCCCTTCTTCCTACCCCAGCCTGTCCAACACAGGGGGGCAATCCCCTTCTCCCCTGCCCCTGCTCATCTAGCCCCTACTCCTACCCCCATCCTGCCTGTCCAATCGACTGGAGGGGCAATTGCATTCTCTTCCTACCCCAGCCCATTCAATGCAAAGAGGCAGTGACCCTCCTTCCTACCCCAGCCCTGCCTCTCCAACACAGAGGGAGGGGGAAGTAATTGCCTTCAATTCTTCCCCCTGCCCATCTAATGCAGGTGGGGCAGTGACCCCTCTTCCTACCCTCTCCAGTGCAAGGGGAGGGCAGTAAAAACACTTTCTCCTCCCTTTGCCATCCACTGCAGGGGAGCGGGGGGACACTGACCCCTCTTCCTACCCTGTCCAATGCAGGCAAGATGGGGTAAAAAAAAAATCACCTTCTCTTCCTACCTCAGCCCCTTTCCAATGCAAAGCAGGTCATCTCCTTCTCTTCCCCAATCCAATGCAGGGGGGCACACAGTGACCCCTCTTCCTCCCCCACCCAATACAGGCATGGGGGGGCAGTAAAGCCCTCATCCTCCTACCCCAGCCCTGCTTCCAATGCCCACATAACTGGGGGGGGGGAAGCAATAACCCCCCATCCAAACCAAGTACAGGGGTGGGAGATCCCCTCTTCTTCCTACCCCAGCCCCTTTCCCCATCCAATGCAAGGGGTGGGCAGCGATAATCCTTCTTCCTACCCCATCCAAACTAAGCATGGCAGTGGGGGGACCCCACCTCTTCCCCATTCAATGGGGGGGGGGGGGCCAGAAACAAACCTTATCCAAAGCAGGGAGGGGAAGGGATCTAAATCACCTTCTCCTCCCCCTCTGCCCATCCAATGCAGGGAGGACACACAGTGACCCTTTTTCCTCCCCCACCCAATACAGGCATGGGGGGGGGCAATAAACCCCTCCCTTCCCAACCCAGCCCTGCTTCCTGCAC